GGAGGAAGACCTCCAAGTCGGGGCATCCAATTTTCTGTTCTTGGAAATTGTCCAGGTCTGTTGTTGTTTCAGAAAGTCTTTTGGGCAGCTCCCTGGGGAGGACTTTAGAAATCAACATATTTGATTGGGAATGCCCAAGGAGCACCTGGTGTGTGAGTTAAACTAACAGCACATCAATCAATAAACGGAAATCCTATTTTAGGACTAAAAAGAAGCCAAAAGGATTTTAGCAGCCATACCAAATTGGCAGCAACTTAAAAACCCGTGGCTGCCTTTATCACAAGTCTGTCAAAATGAGACGAAATTAATGTTTCCGAACAGGGAGCGAGGTATTCATATCATGGATGCTGCTTGTTAGTGTTGCTGCTTCTGTACATGTTGTTTGGAATAACATATACAAGCCTTGAAACAAATTTCTCAGCAGTAGTATCCTTGTATAGGCTGAATAAAGGTTATTTTCTACAGGGAGGTATCTTATAAGAAAAAACAGTAGGGGAGACCATAGAAGTGAGAGGATCCTATGGTGCTTTTTGTATTTAACAACAATCAATGGGTTTTATGGAAAATCATTGAGCAAAATGTGAGCTGCAAGCTACTACCCCATACTGATGTTATTTATAACCTTAGTCTTAAACTGCAGGAAAAGTACACTTCCGTCCTTTGGGGAATACATTAAAAGTATAAAGAGCAGATAAAAAGACAGCATTTCATGGATCACCAAGAACAAAATCCACTTAAATGAGTTTAGAGTTGGTTTCTTGGCTTTTCCTGATGGAGGAGGACTCATAAGGCATTGCCCAAGAGGAAAAAGCTCTTACCAAAGTGCCTCTGGTACCTTATGCATAAACATGGGATTAGTGCAACACACACACACACACGCATGCACGGGGTCTGCCTCTGATGACTTAACCCGGATCAACTTGAACGCAACCAAGGCTGGATCCTGTCACTTATTTAATATTGCAGTAATGGTGGGGAGTGACTGGGCACAGTTAGATTGTCATGTCCCCCTTCTGAACCATTTAAAGCAACGACTAGTTTTTAAAAAAAATTATTTTAAAAGAAATGTTTTGAAGCTGTGCCTGGAAAAGGTAAGTTAAAAATTCTTTATGGACAAAAGATGGTTGCAATTTTTTTTTACATGTATTTTCTTAGAAAGTCCTGATAGCCATGTCTAAGCAGAAATACTGGAAATATTCATACAACACAGGGCTGGCAGCATGACAACATGCGCTTAGGACACCTGTATACAGACGCGGTCGGTAGCTGTCAGGTTGTGGGTTAACCAGCAAGGCTCCCAGCCCAGGTGGTGTCTTCGCAATGAGAGCGCCTTGGAAGTTCTTAGTTGACAGGAGTTATCAAGCCAGGCCCACTCAATTTACTTCAACATCTTTGTTTGTATCCGATCACCCTCCCAACATAGCTACCCCTAAAATTGTTCCCACACTCTGCCCCTCCAACTATGCCCAACCGAAGGAAAAAAAAATGAGTGGAGCCGCGAGGACCACCGAGGTCCTGGCCTGCCACAAGAGGTGATAGCATGCGGCGTGGTTACCTGCAGATGGCCGACTGGCTGTACGCAGGGCCCTCGGTAGCACTGAGAGCCTGCCCCACCTGAGTCTGGGTCAGGCCGAGGGACAGGCGCCGGATTTTAAAAGCTTTGGCAAATTCTCGGATCTCCTCCAGATTAACCCCATCCACCTCACCCGCTGCCGTTTGAGGATCTGTGGAGATGTTTTTAAAAATAGGATCAATATGTCAACACACAACTGAGTGATATCCACTTATTACGTTTTATAAGGAAGGGCTCTCTGTAACAGCGGTGCAGTAGAGAAAGCCAATATCAGTCTCTGTCTCCTAGGTAAGACGCCTGCCAACCCATACCCCCTAATTCATTCCACCGTCACAAGTCATCCTTCTAGGTGCTTCTGTCCCAGGTGAGAACGCAGCCCACGGCCCACCCCCACCGCCACTGTGGGACAAGAGCATGTCCCTTAAGGCTTAAATACTAGCCAGCAGGGCAGGTACTGGCTGTGAGCATTGCAACTCTGTTGCCTATGAATAGGTTCAATGGGCGGCAAAAATGAAAATGCCTTCATTTGTGATCTTCAGTGCTAAAATTTGCCCTTGAAGCAAGCAAGCAGTGGTTTGCCTTTTTCCTGCATCTGGTCACAGAGCATCTGGGCTAACAGACCGGTCTCTTTGCCTAATTTCTTATGTCCCCGTTGGCTTCTCAGAAGAGCATGCTTATGACGCTGCAAGAACAGCATTGTCTTTTTTCCCCTCCCCATAGCAGCTTACTGATGTGGAGGCTTTTGTTCCCTGAAAGGGCACATAATAAAGAATGCTTACAGCAGGAAGGCTCCTTTGGTGCTGGATAACGCAGTCAATTTAGGACTTATCAAGGGAAATGACACAACAGCTGGAGAATGAAACTCCCCCCAGCCCCGGCCACTGATTCCTGGGTAAATGAAAGTGTATGCTAAGCTGGAGCCAGCATGGGCTGCAGATGGTAGGAGACCTCAAAGTGCTGCCCCATCCTGCCTGTCGTGAAGCCATTCTCCCTTACCAACCTCCATTGTTCTTCCCTTCATTCTTCCTGCATAGGTGAAGAGTTCTCTCCCTCTTTCTGCACAATAACCCATCAGTTTCAGGGAATAGGAGTACTTGGCCCGGGGCTGTGTGTTCTCAGGGTACAGAAATATGAAAAGAAGCAAACATTCGCCTCCCCAAAGTGCTAATTTGAAGGATCAGTATTTGTATCAATGCAGGGTGGTGCTTGGGACTTCCTGTAGATTCCTATCACTGAGGAGGGATTCCTTTCTGCCTAGGGAAACAAATCGGCATTATAGGTATCCACTGGATCTCTTTGACATTAAAAAAAAGTCCTGTAGCATTTTCACATGCTCACACTTTTGTTTCAGAGAGACTAAAATTTCAAAAGTGATTCCTGGGAATTCTGAGGAAGGAGGGAAACGAGAGAAAGTTTCAGTTTCTGTCTAGAGGGGATTGGAATACAAAATGGATGGGATCACTCCTGTTCTTTCCCTTCCTCATTGTAAGTCTGCCTTCCAAATAAATAGCCTTAAAGAAGAATTATAGGCCAACAGGATGACATAGTAAATAAAACTTCCACCTGTGATGCTGGTATCCCATGAGAGCACTGGTTTAATTCCCAGCTGCTCCACTTACAGCCTGGGAAAAGCAGCAGAGGATGGCTAAGGTGTTTGGGCCTCTGCACTCATGTGGGAGACCTGGAGGAAGCTCCTGGCTTCTGCCTGGTCCAGCCTTGACTGTTGTGGTCATTTGGGGGATGGAAAGATTTTTCTCTTGCTCTCTTTCTGCCTCTCCTGATTCTGCCTTTAAAAAAAATCTTTACATTCTACCTGGTAGTCACAAGGTTTTTTTTAATCAAGAACTGTGACACCCACCCCAGAGAAGGGATCAGGGGTAGGAGGGAGAATCACTTGGGTCTTACCCAGTGGGCAGCTTTCGGAGATTGGAGTGAGCACATTCTGTTTAGCAGGGACTGCACCCAGATAGGTGCAGGTCCGGGAGGAGCCAGAGTACTGTGGGGGCCTTTATGCTGTAGGAACTCAAGCTAAAATGGGAATATTTTGGTGTCCCACATTGAGTTGGTAAATAGGCAAGGGTATCTGTAATACTGGTTTGGTTGCTAAGACAAATTGACATCACCTTTTACCCACCAATGGCCCTGGAAGGCTGGTGATACTTGAGTAATCAAAGACTTGTTTGGACCATGCCTGGTAAGGGCTGCCCTTTGGATCTAACTCCCACCAGCACAGTAGCCCAGGGCAGCTTGCAGGCTTTGCTGAGTATTGTGGGAGTTAGGATTTGTGCACGCAGCAGCCTCAAGCCCCTTCCTCATTTCTTCATTAAAACATCCCTAGGGCTGAAGTTGCCACAAAGTACAACAGCTAACAAAGAAAATCCAGATTTCCTAGTGCTTACACATTTTTTTTTCAAATTACTTGTCAACATTTGAACATTGATTTTTGAGGAAAAGAATCTAGATTGTCCATGTTCTTTTGAAATGCTGGATGAGCTGGCTACATGGATTTACGTTTGCACTTGGTCACTCAGTCAGTTGGAGCTGCTTCTGCTGCCCCCGTCAGGTGGTCCTCCTCTCCAGGCTCCCTCCGGCTGGCAGCCTGGGTTGTAAGCTTACATGCAGAGCATGCATCCAGGTGGGGCTGATTCTGGTCCTGGGGGAGGAGCGGGAGAAGTCTCAGCATGGACAATGGTTGCTGCCAACTGAACTGCCACAGTCCATGAACACAGTGGATGTGCAGACTATCTGTAGGATTAAAATTATACAGGCAAGGGAAGCTTGTTTTTTGTAAGGATTTTTTTTTTTTTACAAAATCTTAAAAAGCTCCTTGCAGGAGGTGATGGAGTGAAAATAAAATAGCTGAGGAACCCTTGAGAGCAGGGAGAGATAGTTGGTATAGAGACTGGTGTGCTGAGAGAGGGAGCAGGAGTTTGGCAGCCTTGCCAAGTTGGGAGCTGGGGAAATGGAAGCCAAAGGGTTTTCCTGCAACAACATGGCTCTAAAGCCCATATTTTTCTTAATTTGGCAGCTGAGTCTCCTGGTGGGGACCAGGGATATGCATTTTCAAGTACTGCAGGCATAGGTGCAGGGATCTACTAACCCCATTTGTAGAGATCTTTCTCTATTGCTCTGGCCTGGGAAGTCTGGGTGCCATGTCCTCTGTGTGCCATTGTCTGTCTGGACACATTACCATCATTATTCAGATTTTACTATGAGAGAAGATTGCTGTATTACCTGTGCAGGGCTGATGAGCAAGACAGGACCAGACTTGGCAATGCAATACAAGGCAGGTTTATACAGTGGGGTACAGTGTTATGTAAACATGTCTTCATCTTCCCATGCATTCTCACCCTTTCCCTAAATCAAGAACACGAATCTGGATGTGACTGTGCATGTTGGAATGGAAGCTGTGGCTGTTGAGCTCCTGTTCATGGGCCAGTGTTGGGAGAGCTACCAAATGTTTTCTGATGCTCACAGTGATGGGTGCCTATAGAGCCCAATGATGTCTATGCAGCCTTAACACTTTTGAATCAGAAAGCTAGATTCCTCCTCCTCCCTCATATGTATTTTCCATTCTTATCTTTTCTACTGCTTCTGTTTAGAGCAGTGTTAAGATAGAAATTCTTAAGGGTGAGTCTGTACTGGATAAAGGCTCAGGGGGTGAACTTGGCATCTCTGTAAAATTTGTTCATTGTTGGAGATGAGCTGCTCAACTTCATGTTGGGATTACTCTATAAAAATCTGTATGATGGCTTTGTTAGGTGGGTCTCAACATTACCTCTCCCGGAATTGATGGTGTCCACAAAACATTTTGAATTAATTGAAAAACTTGTTATTTATACCATAGTTTCTGTCATCAGCTCTTGTGGTAATCTCACTGTGGGGATGGTTCCCTTTCTTAAGGAAACATGCTTTTCTACTTGGAGAGGGCAAATAAGAGTTGTATGTGGAAAATGCAGGTTTGTTTAAATGACTACACTAGCTCTGAGTCCAGCTCAGAGTTTGATATTCTGCCCTGAGACAGGTCCAACCTGCCTTTCTGACATCTGTTCTGGCTTTGGGAAGGCTGAGTTCATTTTCAGGGTGAACTTGAGCCCTTCTTGATGGAAAGCTCAGGGAGATGCTTCCGATCGCCCACCAGGTGGATCCAGTACTTTTAACCAACTCTGGGGCAATCTGGTCTGGGTTTTCTCTGCCGTGAAGAAGAAGCGGTACCTTTTATAGACGTTTGCCTCAGGTCAAGTCAGTGGAATGTACTAAATACAGGGCCAGGAAGCAATGACAAATGGCCTGAATTTGTCACCCTGATTTTTAAATTTTTTTTTAAAGATTTATTTTTCTTATTTTGTTTATTGGAAAGGCGGATATACAGGAAGATCCTCCGTCCGATGATGCACTCCCCAAGTTAGCGCAACGGCCGATGCTATGCCGATCCAAAGCCAGGAGCCTCTTCTGGGTCTCCCACGCAGGTGCAGGGTCCTAAAGCCTTGGGCTGTCCTCGACTGCTTTCCCGGGCCACAGGCAGGGAGCTGGAAGGGAAGTGGGGCTGCCGGGATAGAACCGGCGCCCATATGGGATCCCGGGCGTGCAAGGAGAGGACCTTAACTACTTGCGCCACCGCGCCGGGCCCTGTCACCCTGATTTTGAACCTAGATATAGAAGGATTAACTGGCCTGAGGATTTAGGGTGAACCAGTGCTGAAACTTGGCAGTGACTCATAAACATAATAGTGGTATTTTCCATCATAAGTTTGGAATACATGGGCTGAACAGTAAAATGATTTTGATGAGACCTAAATACAAATTGTATAAAAAGCCTGTCTTGTAGAATCTAGTACGTGGTTTTTTGACTCACACCATACTGAATAAATCTAATACTCAGGAAAGATGGTTTTCCAAGTTCTGTTGCTTCCCACTGTTAACCTGGGTATCAGGTGAATGGCTGTTAAGTAGGTGGAACAGCCATCACACGTCAGCACCATTCTATGGTTCCTGCTTGTGGAATTGTTTTAGGGTTAACATGCATCTTTAAAAAGCTGACAAAAGTATAAATTAATCATCTGTTAACATCAGTCTGCTTTTCAGTGCTATTTTCACAGCAAATAATGGATTTTCTTCTGCCAAATACTTCTTAGAAGTAAACCATTTGGGATTGTTCAATGCAATGTGAGAGAAAGCATACCTAGAATATGCTGACTTCACTAAGTTGTGGAAAGTTGTGTGAACTACGAATCAAGGTTTCCTTGTGCTATAATTTAGTGCTATAAATATTCAAAATGCTTTTTAGACAAGGAGAAAGAGACAGGAGAGAGAGGAAAGAGGAGGAAAAAGAGAGGGCGAGGGAGAGAGATAGGGAGAGACATTTTTCATTGCTGGTTCACACTCCAAATGCTCACAACTGCCATGATTGGGCCAGGCTGAAGTTAGGAACCTGGAACTCAATCCAGGCCTCCCACAGAGGTGACAAGATAAATGCTTGTGTCACTGCTGCCTCTTGGGGTGCATATCAGCCAGTAGCTGGGATTGGAAGCAGAACTGAAAGTCAACCTCAGGCACTCAACATGGGATGTGGATGTCCCAAGTGGTGTCTCTGCTGTGCTGAAAACTCTTCCCCCTTGCCATGCATCCTTATGTAGTAGCTCTGGTTTATCTGTCATTAACTATAAATTCTTTGCTGTCCCGGGATCAAACTTACAAGCCAGGGGCTTAAAAAATACACTAGAACAAAGCTAGTAAACAACCCAAATCTCCCAAAATCTATTCATTTTTAAATAGTACCTTGGGAATCTTTAATTTAGAGCATTTCTCAAGACATTTGACTTTTCTTAGACTTTCTTTGGAGTTTTCCCATAGAAACTATAATGCAAGAATTAATCCAGGGTAAGGCATGTTGGTGCTGTACACAGATACCGTGTCTAGGTTCTCAGAGTGATATTGGGCATGAATGTAGAGTTCTTTGCATTTGAAAACACTATTATCATTTCTAAGGCATTACCTGACATTTCTTTGCCTGGAGAGGGCAATGTTTTTGTTTGCTCTGTCCACCTAGTTAATCTGGCTTATGGCATGTTGGCCAGCACTGGGGTGGTCATCTTTGGGAGTATGGAGAACTTACTAGGAATGTGACCAAAGTTCTTATGATATAATCAAATAGATGTGTGGTATTTGATCCTGATTCTTGATACAGAGTTCCTAATACTCTTGTAATTTCCCAAAGAATGTGGGTGCCAGGAATACCTCTTGTTTTACTACGAGCTCTTTGGTCCTGAGTTCTAACATGGAGCCATTAAGTTCCTTGGAATTTCTTGAGGCATAGGTATATTTTTGTTGCAATGAAGTAACTCTTGGTGGGCTCCCAGATATTTTCAATATGAGGGTTGGTCACTGGAAACACAAAGTCATCAATAAAAGCTTGGAACTTTCAGTACCTGCTCTCCCCTGTGTGTGTGCAGGTGGGTGATTGGCTTAATAATTGATTATGCCTACATAATGAAGCCTCCATAAAGGAATCCCTAGAATAGGTTCAGTGAACATCTGACTTGGTGACCACATCCACGTACTGAGAGTGTGGTGTGCCACAACTCCATGGGAGTGGACTGCCTGCTCTCAGGTTCCTCCCCGACCTCACTTTGTGTAATTCTTCATCTGGCCATTCATCTGCTTCTTTATTAAATCCTTTATAATAAATCGGTCCCTGTGTGTAATGGTACAAGAGCTATCACAATAATTACCAGACCAGAGGGATCTGATCCACTCATTATATATTCCTTCTATAGCCGGGTTTTGAGACAGAAGGGCTAAACCAACATGCTCAAGATATGTAGCAGTTCCAAGGGTAGAAATGGATCTGTGTAAGGCCTGACTTGTGCTTCCGCTAGGCTCGGTTTCATCAGCCTGAGAAGATGGTGTGACTGGCATGGACCCTCATTCAGGCCTTGCTGATGACTTAGAAATTTCTTACTTCAACTAAATGAGGGAAAAGAACTTCTCTCTCTCTAAGGTCTTTCTATTTTATTCCAAGTATATGCAATATGCTTTGCTCATCATAGGTCTAGAAGTTAGATATCTGTGCAGCTGGAATTTCATGAAGCCCATGATGTTGATCCCTTACTGATTTCTGCAATACAGGAATTCTTTCCTACCTGAGTTGTGAAAGTGACAAAAGAACCCACTTCCATCTGTCTGCTGTCCATTTTTCCATTCATTCATATCTCTATCTAATTGAGTGGGTTTCCTATGTGTAAAATAATGCATTAGGATGTTTATTTTTATTTCATATTTAGTTCTTCTGTGTAAGATGTTTGAGATTGGTGCTTTTCAGGACCAAACCCTACCAGTCTAAATTTATGACCTGGCTGGTGTTTAGAAATAGAATCCTTTTCAGGAACTTGTACAGAATACTGAGTTGGACCAGAGTCGGAATGTTTTCCCACAACTGCCCTCTCAGGGTTTTCTTTATTCAAGGGAATCTGATTATAATTAGTGTATAGCCCTGGTTTTATTCAAGACTAGGCTTTTTGGCTAATATGGGGAGGGATTGTATATTTAAGCAATGTAACATTACTGGGTTGTTGGAAAGTTTTGGGTGTACTCTGAGACTCTGCTGTGGACCCATCTTTAAGAGAAAAAGCATACTGGCTGGTCTGCTCGAGAACCTGGGCCTTTTGACATCTCTCCATACATCTGATGCCACAGGTATTTTTCTTGCTGAATTCATGGAACTGAATAGGTATATTCTTGTACACACACTAGGTGTCTTCAGAAAATTCATGGAAAATGAATATTGGGAAAAATTATTCATGGAGTTCAAAATTTGTTTTTGCAACACAATGAACTTTTAATTTTCTGTGACCTTTTAAAGTATTTTTGTATAACTGTTAAGAGTCCTCCCCAACCCTGGGGAGTGATTGCTTGTCAGGGATGATATGGCAACCCTGGAGTTGGTTCTGTGTTTCTGAATCTATACTGTCAGCTGTGAGGACCCCATGATTCCTGTTGAAACAGGTCATTAATATTGCTGATCCAAACACATACACTTCTGGGTGTCTTCATTTGTGGTACAGATGCCTGAATGGTGCTCTAGCCTTTCACACCCATAACCACTGGATTTTGGCTTCCTGGTAAATGGCAGTCTATGTAAATGTTCTGTGGTTTTAGACATGAGTAAAATTCTCACTCGAGATGAGTAACTGACATGAAATCAGGTCGTTGTCCTATTTATCTTCACATGCTTCCATTTGCATGTGATGAATACACTGTCTTCACCTAAGGCCAAATACCATTTCTAAAAATTATATAGATGGTCTACTCCAGGAGGCAAACTTGCCGGCTTCTTTTATTTTATGAATGGTTGCTCTGCGATTTCTCATCTGCTTCCAGTCCCTGCAACTCCCCCGCCACACCACTGGAAGTGGCTCATTGTGCACACACACTCACCCGCCCACAGGCACGTGCTCTTTTATTTCCTCAGACACCTACAAATAGAACGGCAGGAGACTTCAAACACACACACAATCAGCTTGACCTGCTGGCTGAGTGCCTGTTGTTGCTTATTTCAGTTTGGAGCTCAGTAGCTCACGCCCTGCAAGCTGATCAGTTGCTACCTTCTTGAGGGGCTGGCCTGACTCAGCACAAGAGGAACCCAGTTCCCAGTGAATGGAAGCTGGCCCCCAACAAGCAATAAGGCAGTGTGTGTTTAGTGGGCTGCTGCCCTGTGGATCCATCTGGCTCAGAGCATAGACCTCAAACCAGTGTGTCTGGCCTAGTGGTGCCAGAAAATTACCCTGTAGGAGGGGGAGAGAAAGAGACAGACAGAGACAGACATTGCAAATAAGCAATAAGAAGGCCACCATGATTTAAACCGAGCCAGAAAGGATACTTACTGCTGACTAACTGGCCCACGCTCAAAGCTGAAGAAGAGGAGGATGAGGAGGAAGAAGAGGAAGCCTGTCGCACGGGACTTTGAGACATGGATGCTTGGCTGTGAGCCAGGTGCAGAAGGTTGCCTTGGGAAGCTGCTTGACCCACTGCCGTCTGGGAGGGCTGGTGGAGCTACATGGGGTGGGGAGGGGGATGTAGAAAATACACAAATGAATGTGACATTGGGAAAACATGCCAGGGAACAGAAGTTTTATCTGCAGCTGAATCATTGTATTTCCAAGAATATAAACCCTTCAGGAAGATTCTGTGACCTACAATATAAGCAGGATTTAAAATTTTTAACTCCTTGCCACTTGGCTTGACAGGCATTTTATTAGTTGTTCTAAATATTACTACTAACTCCTTACTTGGCTTGCTACAGCACCCAGTTGTCTATGTCTTGCAGCTGTGGCATGTGGCTGGATTCTTTTTGCTTGTTCATACCATATGAGCACACTTGACAGGTTTTTCAAGTACGCATAGATGAAATGCAACACAATCAAGTTGAATGTTGGGTTTTGCTATATTACTTTATCTTATGTAACTGTTATTTTGTGGGGAGCACTGTAATGTGGGCCAAGTGTGTACAGGATGACTGTAGAATAGACAGAATGCTCTGATTTCCTATAAAACATTAAGGCAGAAGTTGGGAGTCAATAAAGACATGTGATAATGTTTGTGGGCTTGGTTACTCCTTACTTGGTGCCAGCCTCTGTTTTAAGAGCATCCCTGCCCTGTCTCATCTTGTTCTCATGTGAGCCTGTGTTGTGGCTACTGTTTTGACCCCTCCTTGGCTGAGGCATGGAAAGGTCAAGGGTTTTCCAGCTTAATCCAGCTGTGTGGAGCTGGGATCTGAGATGCCAGTCTTATTTACACAAGGAATTAATTTTAGAATTTTTGTGTGTTGAGGAAGGCTATTTTTATGCCCAGTTATTCATTACAGAAGGTCTGAGAAGGGACAGGATCTTAGCTGCACAGAGGAACAAGAGCAAAGGAAATCTGCATGTAGTTTGCAGGTGCACAGGGAGGCCAAGGAGAGAGATCTCCTTCAAATGTTGCCTCTACTCTCTACAAAGCTGCCACAGGACCCAAGGATGGGTGTCAGACGGCCACTGTTGTTGATTTGCATGTGGCTCTTTGGGGTTGTCAAAGTGACTTCATATCCACTGCTATACACATGGGGTTTTATCAGAGAGCCTGGGAGGAGAATTAGACCCTGAACTTCAGTAGGAGAGTTGGCCACAAGGCAGTTACTGATCCTTTCGAGGCATTTTGTCACTAAGAGCTAGCCTGGAGTGCATTCAGAGTATGTGTGTGTGGTGTGTGCGTTCATTTTATTTGACTTCATTGAGACACAATTTAGATGTAATAAAATGTGCCCATTTCAATCATACAGTGCAGAGGTTTTTTTTTTTTTTTTTTTTTTTTTCAAATACATGCCCCTGTGATACTACCATCACCATAGTTGTCTTCCTTCCAATCAGGGCCGGTCCCTCCCTTCCACAGCCCACCCTCCCTGGTTCACGGCTTTCTGTCACTGGGACTCATCCGGCATGATTCCACAAAAGCATATGATCTCTGTGTCTGGCTTCTTTCAGCTGGCATGTTGTTTTTGAGGCTTATCTGTTTGCTGCATGCGTCAGTAGTTTTATTGTTGAATAGCAATCCAATACACAGAGCTACCTCCTGTATATGTATATACAGTGGTTACAATATGCCACTTAGGTATTCATCTGCTGGTGGGCATTCAGTTGTTTCCAGTTTGGGGATAACATAGTGATATGATGCAGGATGTCATATACACCTACATATAGCCTTAGATGCCTATGAATGTTTTTGTTTCGTGTATATAAATACATAGGAGTGGAATTGCTGGAATAGACTATGAATACACGCTGAACTTTCTGAGAAAAAAGCTAAATGATGTTCAAAGTGGCACACCATTTCATATTACCAGCAGTGTACTGCATGAGCATGCCAGTTGCTCCACATTTTGCCAGCACTTGGTACTGTTCAGTCATTTTAGTTCTGTATGATGTTCTCAACCGTTAACATTTGATTGAGCAGCTATTAGTAAGAGGTCTCTTTGGAAATGTGTTTTAGGAGCTGCTTCCCTTTCTGTTCTCACCCATGGTGGTAACTAACAGCAGCTCGCCTGATTCTCACAGTGTTTCACAGAAGTTAAGGCCATGGGGCTGCTGGGCCTTAGAATTCAGTGTCCCACTCCCAAAAAATTTTCCCAGAATGCCACACTGTCCTTCCTATAAAATTGTCTGCAATCGCATTTCAAGTAATCATCCTTATTGTTTCGTGGCTACACTACAGAAACCTAAATTAATATGCATCATGCATCTGCCCAAAATAATAAGCCAATCTGTAAAACACAAAGCCCACAATTGAATCCAGTAAATTTTATACGGCAGGGACACAAATGAAAGATTAAATCTACTTTTAATTTGCTTAACAAAATGTGATGGGAATTTGCGTATCAGTCTGCTGCCTCTCACCTACTGAGCTTTTTCTGAATACTGTTACTTTGCAAAAGCTTTTTACAGTCTGAGTTACGAGCTACCATTCTGTGAATATCTTATTGGATCTGGGTGTGGCAAAGTACCATTAAGGAACTGAATAAGAAAATAATCAGTTCATACATTTCTTCCTTAGACAAAACTTAGCAAAGAAAAAAAAACAAAACAAAAACAGCAGGCTGCTGTCTTAAGAGCCAACAAAAACAAAGTGGAGCTTGAGCATGGGACTAAACAAGAGAGGAAATGCAAGAAATAAAATACCTTTTTTTGGGGGGGGGTTGTTTTTAAAGGAATCATTCAAAGCCCAAAAAAGAGAGAAATCTAAGAAACATAATTTGTTGTCCAAAGTTATTAATCTTTTTTATGATGTTGATAGTTTGGCTTACCCTTCAGATTTCAGATAGAGAAAAATCCCACCTAATTTTAAAAGTACACTACTTAAACAGTTGTCAAGTAATCAAAAAGTGGAGACCCTTTCTGAACTCCGGGGGAACAGCCTGCTGCACAGGCCAAAATCCCGCTGGAGACCCTGCTCTCATTCACAACTCTTTTCACCAGAAGAATTTTGAAAGTATTACCTGGGTCACCTTTCATTCCTACAGCTTTAATTCTCTCAGATAAGCAATGCAAAACCATACTCTATCTTGTATATTCTAATAATTTTTATGCTTAAATTTCATTCTGGAATATGTTTTAAATACAAGTAGAGATCTAAGCTGCTTCCCAAAATAACTCAAGTTCAAGATAAAGATTCCATGTTCTTTAAATAAGCAGCATTGGGGAGATTTGTGATTTAACTGCATGGTTTTTAGAGTGACTTAACTGCCCAAATCAGATAAACTTGCATTACACAATCACTAACCAAAGTAGCAGGTGGACAAATCCTAAAACTGTCCACAAAATTGGAATAGTTCACTATAGGAGAGTGCAGGGAGTTAGGGAATGTCCAAAAGCATGAAGAAAGCACTTTTCTTTGCTGGAGAAACTTTTAAGTGTCTATAGAGGTTGGTGCTTTATTACATTGACTTAATTTTGAAAGGCCCAATGCAAACACATCAATGATTGGATGCTTCCTACGCGCTTTTTAATCTCATCAGCAGTCTTCTTGGGTAGGAATCTGTGATGTCATTACAGAGAAGGCAGACTTCCAAAGATAAACTGACTTGCTTGGGATCACAAACTGGAGCAGGTAGCCATCCAGGTGAGACTGACTTAAAGAGCTGGTGCTTGTTCTGCTATGCTGCTGCCTGGCAACATAGTACTATTGCTGGAGGTGAGCCATGACAGGTCAAGGAAGCAGCAGGGAACACTTGCTGCGAAGTGAGGAAGCAAATGGGACTTGTTTAGACTGGGAGATTGTGGTGAGTGACACTGTGGCCTTCTCCAGAGCCAGAGCAGACCTCCAGCCACCCACCAATCTGAATGTAGCTAATTTTAGTGTGTTTTTCTAACACAAGATTTTAAATATTTTTCTAGCACAGGAATTCTTCTCTACAGGTGCCAAAAGTATTTAAAGTTTCACATCTGAAAGAAAATATAGTCCTCTCTGGCAGCTTAGAGCATTTCCCAAAATTACAGTGTTAGTGTCATTGAGGGGATACATCTCAGATGGAATTGCCTGAAGATTATTCTTTCCTTGGTGTAATTAATTTTGCTTATGTTTAGTACCAAAACTTTTCTTGAGTTTGCATCCTTCTTATATGATCATATTTTACATTTACTCACTCATACTCCTCCAAACCACTAGACGGCTTCAAAGAGCTTGAGTTTGTCTATGTTCGTGTTATGATTCTCTTGGCCCTCCTTTAATTTTTCTTCTGTAAGTCAGGTGTAAATAAGCAAGAAGAACAGAGAAGGGACAGTCCGTGTTAGCTGGAGAAGGAGGGGACACTTTCCCTCCCAGACAGGGAATGGTCAGCTGACAGGAGAGGGCTCAGGGTGTGCAAAGCTTTGTGTTCCCTGCTGACTCCTGCAGGTTGGCTCTGTTGGATGGTTAGTGCCGGTTGGCACTGCCAGGGTGTTTAATATATTCAACAGAAAGAGATTGAAACAACAGCACACTGGAAAGGCTTTCTTGATTTTCTGTGCCACTGCTTCCCATATATCTTCCATGTGTAATGCAGTCTGTCTTCAATAAGGTTTTCATTTCTGGAATAAAGCATCTTTTAATTAAATTCACGATTGATGTAAAAACAAATAGAGGTGGCAAATGTCTCGGAAAATGGAATAAAATGCAGAATGTGCTAGCCAAAGTAGAAAAGCGAATTGTAAAAACAGTGAAATTCAAATGGCAACAGATAAAGTGAAACTTGTTTTGAGGGAGGGAAAGGCCCTTCCAATCTGGTGAGGCAAAATGGAAGGGGTCTGGTCTTCAAAGAGGGATTCATGGTAAACAGGAGATGGACCCTCTCTATGGAGAACAGGGTACAGGGAACTTAATCTGAGCATCCCAGCAGCAGCCAGACAATTTGGAGGAAACTTGGTTCTTACTCCACCCCCACGATTCCCCTATCATAGGTTGGTATATTTTCAGAGTAACATGTACCTAGAATATCTGTTAATTTAAAATCAGTGGCTCTTAAGATTTACACTGTATCAGAACCA